CTTCCATTTTGATTGACTATTTCATTTTGTGCTATTTTTTTCTTAATTTGTATTATTATTATTCGTCGGGTTTCTGTTTACTTAATTGAGGTTTTTCGTCTTTACGAGAAAACCTGTTCCTGGGGAAGCACGGAGGAGTCACACAAGAACATGGGATGCGACGGGAGTAAATATCGTGACTAATAAATCGCGATATGACTTGGGAAGGTGGCACGATCATACGCTATCGTGAGAATTCTACGAGTCGGTGAAAACGCACTTGGTCTCCGGTATGGTCGGACAAGCCTTGGTGTGCCAGTGAAGGTTAGTATGGGTTCTTGCTCGGTGTCTCGTGACCCGTTTTGTACTCGACTGTTTGCTCGAACGTTGTTAATTCTCACGAAATCCCCTTGCCGATTATTTCGATATTTCACTTCTCACCTCCTTTCAGATTAAGAGAAGAAGAACATAATCTTGTCGTGTCAAGTTTTAATCGTAGCACTGCAGATCTCTTTAAGAAGACATAAGCTCGAGACTGATGAGCGAATCTGTTGGAGGACGGAGCAGGTGGCAAACAGCAGTCGTGTACAAGCGCAAAAAAAAAGAACAGCGACAAGGAGAAAGCAGAGATGTGTTCTCAAAGTTTTAGCTTATCGTGAAAAATCGTGTTAAAAGAAGATGCCGAAGTAAACTTCATGTTTTGCTAAATACATTTTTAAACGGAACCGTATTTTTTAGGCGATTTTTACTCGCACTTTATCGGAAAAACGAGCTTTCCCGTCTGAAAAAATGGAGATACATCACATGTATTATTTAATGCTTCGAAAGAAGATACAGAGTTGCTCGGTTATCGAAACAATTATAGTTCGTAATGATAGCGTTTATGCTACTTCTCAAAGTGGCGCGACTTTTCAGACGCTAGCATTCCATGTCTCGTGTCTCTTCGAAGAGGGTTTAAATCGAGGCTCCCATTGTGAAGTCTAACCACCGGTTTTTGCGGAGCGTCTGCGTCCTGGTTATGCGACCGCCAGGTGCAACGTATTAATACCCACGAGTCCCGCGAGTTTGCGATCGTGTCACTGCTTTACTTTGCCGTGCCACACGAATAAGGTTTGTCCTCGCCGTTCGAGAGGACGCGCGAGCACGTTTACCCGTGCCGAGTACCGTTTTACACAGAGAGGGATCCACCGTAATGCGTAATCTTTTACGAATGGTAAAAATATCGCGAGAATCTATCGTACCGTATCGGTCGAGCGGGAACATAAGGAACGAGAGAGAGAGAGAGAGAGAGAGACAGAGAGGAGGTTTACGAGGCCGAAGTGAGTATTCCTGGCATGCGTGGACTGTCCGCATTTATTTTTCCGGTAGCCGCCGCACGCGTACAATGCGAGAGCTGTTACTATTCCGACTATTCGGGCTTTCCAATGATATCGAAGAATAGGAAATGTTCGAGTCACATAGCTCGTAGAAATGCCGGCGATCCTGCGACGGGGAATCACAGAAACGCCTGCAGTATATTAAAGAAAAATAAAAATATCCAAGAGAGATTGCGAAACACTTCAGATATTCATATCGACAAGACAAAAATGCGTCTCATAATGCAGATGTAAGAGATTAAGAGGCGCAAGAAACACAAATTTAATACGAAACTTTAAAATAGCTACGTCAAATTGACCGAAGATTTTTCCGTGTAACTTGGCAATTTGTAATTTTGCGAGATGATAAAGTGCGGAAAGACAGATGAAACATAAGTAATGCCTTCAACGTCGAAGAAGTGCTCGAAGCGGTGGAGCGGCAATTATTAGCAAACCGCACGCGCTTCCTGCTTGCGCGATTAATTATTCCCAGAAGAATTAATCACATGTCAAATGCGACATGTATGTGCAAAATCGGCATAAATCGTGATACATATGTATTTATACGCGATCACGGGAGCTCGATAATAAAGAAGAAACTCATCTCCGTCACTTATCAATGTTCTACTTACATTCTCCTCGGCCGTTCGTTGCCTTTATCCCTCATTCGCGATAAATTAAAAATCCGTGACACCGTAAATATATCTTATAAAAACAGTGCTAGATTGTGGTGTACAAGATACGTAACCTCTTTCGTCAAGATTAAAATATCGCGAAATAATTCCGTGAAAATATAACTTCCGTTATTTCGTCCCGCTCCTTCGGTTCAGTATGTACAAATTAATTATTTATTGATATAATAATTACTCTTCTGGTCGATATTGCTTCGAAACACTTCGATTCTCCGTCAAGCTTCGCGCGAGTCGAAAAGTGGCGACTAGAAGCGGCTTCTCGCGCATCGCCGAGCCGGGGGATTAAATTGCAACTGCGCGGCTCGATTGCAACTATTTGCGCGCGCGACTAATTGGTGTCTTTAGCATCCAGCGCGATGCATCGTTGGTATAGCCGTGCAGATGCAAAACATCCACGCCGCAACAGCCGCCTCTTTCTTGTTGCATTCTACGGCCACGCTCGAACACACATTCTCGTAATCGTGTCGCAACTGTTACCGCGCATGGATCGACTCCACCGGCTTTCCTCGGCAATTACCAGTGTGGAAGAAGGACCTGACAAAAGACCGACTGTGAGGCTTTTACGAGGAACTTTCTTAAGATTATGGACTTTCTACTTGCTTATAAATCCCGATCACTATCGAGAACGATCGTGGACGGTGATATGGATAGTGTCACCTTATCGGATATCTTCATAGATATGCGCTCGACGCTCGATTGCCGCGAGCCATTTTACTCTACATTAGATGTTTCCGGATAAATTGTCACATTGTTCGTGCAGCATGCACGTATATATTGTAAATAAAACGTTTAATATAATCTAATGGACATTTTATTTTCGTAAAAATTGGTCCCAAAAAGTAAATTATATATATATTTTTTTTTATTATATATTGTAAAAGTTAATTGTGACATATTATAATTATATTATAATTATGATATATTATGTAATTATATTTTAAATAACATATAATTTTTAAGTAGACCGAAAGATGGACTTGGTAACAATTACCAAATTACACATTTAGTTAAATAGTTTCAAATGAATGATTTTTTTACATATTACTATATAACTAAATGATTTGATTATTGTATCAAATAATTTAATTGAAACTATTTAACTGAATATTCGATAACTGTTATCAAGTCCATCTTTCAGTGTACAAGAGACAGTGCTCAAGAATTTTCAAAAGTTATCTACGATTCGCATTTACAAAATTGTTTAGACTATTATAACAGCTTCCATATGATTTATTATATCCATTAATTATCGCGCAAAAAAACAAACTTGGCAGAAGTGAGTTATAATGTGAAATTCATTTTGCGAGATAGCAACAAGGGGCACTTCGTTACATAGTGAGGTAACTTATTATAGCACGGTCGCTCTAAAGAGAAAGGAGTAGTTCGCGTATGCAAGAGATCTGCCGCGCGCCGAACGTAACGCTGCAATTTCGCATCTCGAAACGGCGGCAGCACGCACGCTGTTTAGCGCGAATCTCGAAGAATTGTATCTCCCTTCGATGTAAGCCGCGTTGCGTGTTTCAGTTAATAATAGAGTAGCGATTTAACATCTGCGTACGGCCGAACACGAAGGTGCGCGCGCGCAGCGCTTTCTCCGCGACATATTAGAAAGCGTATTATAACTCATCCCGGACAGAATCCTGCGCGGCTTGTATCAATCGATCGCCAGTCGTTCGGCGAAGCGCGGAGCCGATCGTTAATTTCGGAATTATCTCCCTCACGAAGGATTATCGCGATACACGTCGCGGTATATTTTTTATTCCGAGTTATTTATCACGTCCTCGAACGTATAAGGATGGTTTCGCGACAGATCCTTGATTCCGCGAATGCCACGGATCGTTTTCTATTTGTTTAAGAAGAAACCGTAAGAATCTCGCGGCCGCATATCTTCGACTCCGCGGAACGAACGTTCGTAAATCTGTCGTCGCATCGCTGGATCTCCGATTTCGCAACCGCAACTTCCACGTTTAATTCCGGGGAATTCCGAGATCCAAAAAAATTTCTCGGACTCGTACGCAAAAAAAAAGACAGCTAGATTCAAGTAAATAATTATTCCAATAGTTTTCTTATTCGGATCAAGTAAATATTCTATTTAGATAATTTACTTGGAAAATAATAGTATAAAATAGCTAATAAGAGTCTACGATGGTTAACTGGCTAATAAAAATTGTGCATTAAAGTTTATATAAACCGAGAATAACAAACGTTTCGATCAATTGCTGGTCTTTTTCAGTGAAATACAAAAAGTTATATTTTACAAATCGTAATAAACGGGGTAGTGGATTAATTCAATGGTGGCCATGTGCAGGCAGTGGGATTGAAATAAATTTTCTAACATTTTTCAATAATTCCTTCAACAAATTTTTTAGAGTGATCAGAAAGAATTACAAAATATAAAGCCATTGGAAGAATCCAAGCGCCAGAAATCAATTTAAAACTCCAAGTGATCTCATGGTTAAAAGACGATTATCAAGACTGCTTGGAAAATATTTAACTTGGATCAAACAAATATTACTTGATCCAAGTAAAAATTTGCTATGAAGTAATGGAATAATTATTTATTCGAATTTAACATTTTCTTTTCTGTGTAGGCTTTGTTCTTTCACCCACATAGAAAATTCCTCGGGATCTAATTCTTGGGCTCCGATTATGAATTCTAGTTGAGAAATCTATGCGAGTTCTACCTAGAAATGTAATATCTTACACATGCGATTTTAAATGAGAAAAACAGATCTTATTTGGTCACCCCCGAAGTTTTCCCATAGATTGATTTTCTCTGGTTTCCGTTAGACTTATAACTTTCCTATCTCGATCGAGTTCTCCAGATACCGGAGAGCCGCGATTATCGAATACTTGCTATTTCGGGAACCGATTAATGTCGATTTATCCGGATTTGCGGGGAGCGCGATTTGCTCGACGTTACATTCCGTCTGATTTGAGCCCGCGAGCCGGCTTAGCCTCGCGTTAAACTCACCAGCGCCCATCCAGAGACACAGCGCCGCCGCGACGACAGGCCACCAGGCGGACATCGCGCTACATCGATCCACGGCGATCCGCAAGAAATCTCAGCATCACTCCACTCGACACGTCCCATCCGATGCGGCCGGATTCTCTCTCTCGCCGATTCTCGCAGTCGTCGTCCCTTGTGCGTATTCCACGTGAGATTCGCACTTCACTTATCCCCGATACCGATCCTAATCGTCCCCCAAGTCAGACCGACCGCTCATCCGAGGTGAATTGATACCGATCGACGACCGGATACATAAAAACGGTACTCTCCAGAGGAAGTCCGCGAGATCGACCACGAGGTGGATGGCACGACTCGAGGCTGTGAAAACAGCGTGTCGGAGCTGAGAATAGCTGACCGCCGGGTGACTATCCTTGAATCTTACGCTTGTGTCACTTATCACCGACGCGACGCTTATCACCGTTAACGTCCTCCTCGTGCTGCATCGTCCGTTTCGGTCGCTCCTCTCTGTGCATCTTCTCCGTGACGGAAATCGCAACGAGCCGGTGCGCTTTCACTGGCGAACGGGCCCCGGTGGGTTTTTCTTGGCATCGGCCTGGTGCCCACTCTCGCATTCCTATTCCGATCAAATCTTCCGGTCGGCCGTCACAGGCGAACGAGCGAGCCGAGAAATATGCGCGAGAATGTCGCTCGGCCGCCCGACATCGTGCTCGCACACACTGTCTGGGACTCTCACGGGGCCCGCTGGCGGGCCAGCGAGGGCCGCTACTTTCTCTCCAGATACTTCAGTAACAAGAGATAACGATTGATTTTTAGGATTTGGCGATTTTTCCAGTTTATCAGATCGACGATATTTCAACGTCGAACGTAAACCCCCGCGGATTAACCGTCGATCGGGCCGATTTTATTAAGTAGTTGAATATTAATAATATCGTATTGGTAAGAGTCGGACTTTTCGGAGCACTGGTCACAAGCGAACTCACGATAGATCTTTCTCGCAGGCCTGCGACCTCGGACTCGGCGTCCGCAGGAACATCGCAACGCCGGGGACCCACTGAGTATCGGCCGATCGTGGCGGCGAATATACGATCCTTCGATGAGATCCTCTTGACGAACACACGCGTGTGTAGTCCGAGACGTGCACGCGAATCCCCTAGGTTTCGATGGGTCTTCACGAGGGTGAGATTTTTCAGCAGGACTCGCGCATCGTGCGGGATGCGGGACGACGAAGGTACGCGCCGGAGGCCCGGCGAGAGACGTGGGTCTGACGACGGCTGGCGAACGGTGCGCCGACGACTGCGGGGCCGCGACGTCGCGACCTGTTCTTCGGCCGTGCTCCGGCGAGTCGCAGTGGCGTACGATGGTGTGAGAGTGAAGGAGCTTGTTAATTCGACGTTTCGGACACCTAAGAAGGTGCGTGGTCGCGGCACGAATGATAATTCGAATGTGAACGAGATACAGCTCAGGCTGGGAGGAAGAAGGAGAAAAAGAAGAAGAAGGAAAGGTCGATAAAGAAGCAAATGTAAAGAGGGAATTACGTTATACAGAAAAAAATGCTGAATTCAAGATTTAAATAATTATTCTAATATACTCCTTAGCAAATTTTTATTTGGAACAAGTAAATATTACTCAAATAATATTTACTTGATACAAGTAAAATATTTTCCATGTGAATTATCCAAGTAAAATATTTACTTGATCTAAATAAAATTTACTTAATGCCAATAAAGATTTGCTAAGGAATATTGGAAGTAATTATTTACTTGAATCTAGCACTTTTTTTCTGTGAATGAATCGTACTATACTCGTGTTCTTCGTCTGTACTATATTTATTGTTCATTGTTATACCTTTATTGTTACATCTGATTATACTGGTTATTATACTATAATATTATATTATATTATACTATAAGGTGTATCGTTTATCGTAAGAGAGTGATGTTTTTTTTAATAGCTTAAGATGCTTAATTGCTGAGAAATGTGTACACAGAAATAAACTCTAGATTCAAGTAAATAATTACTCCGATATTCCTTAGCAAATTTTTACTTGGATCAAGTAAATATTATTCAAGTAATATTTACTTGACCCAAGTAAAATATTTCCCACGTAAATTATCCGAGTAAAATATTTACTTGATCCAAATAAAATTTACTTAATCCAAGTAAAAATTTGATCAGGCATATTGAAATAATTATTTATTTGAATTTAGCACTTTTTTCCTGTGTGCACATCTCTCAGCAATTATTCTCCTCAAGCTATTAAAAAAGTGTCGCTCTTCCACGATTAAATATACTTAAATTTTTTAATTCTCCCTTTTTGCACACAAAAGTCTCAATGTAACTAGTAATTAATTATAATTATATATGTTATATATTGTGTGTAGAAATAGCGTTTTCTTCTTTTTATGAGATATATATTTGATTTATATATTTTCTAAAAGAATTAAACGATATATGTTGAATAACTTTGAGATGTGCCTCGGGTTCTCAAAGTCAAGAGGACGATGTCAAACTGGTAGCGCCGCCATCGCCGTCGTGAAACCGCGATTGTCGGCCGGAGAAAATGAACCACCAGTGGCGTAGGATGTCTTATTTACAACCGATTCATTGGCGCGATGAGTACCAGGCACCTCGATGAATCTTGTAGCAAATGGATCTTTTCATCGCGAATATAGTCGCATTCAATCTGTCATCAATTTATCATTTTTCATCACGCTGCTATCACTCCGCTTGATTTCCTGAACACAAAAACAACAAACTTGCCTGTAAACCGCCGTCGATCAATTTATCTTCGATCAATTCTTTGGGGAGCAAATGTGACTTCGTTCTACACCGAAAGAGAGAGAGAGAGAGAGAGAGAGAGAGAGCATTTTCAATTTACTTTCTTCAGATTTTCAAAATTGATCAATAATCTCGCGATTTTTACGATGTGATGGACGTGGCTGAGGCTCGGCACAGATACAAATATGGTACCAGTTTATGCTTCTCGGTGATGGGCCGAAGAAAGCTCAGGATCTCGGTAATTACCACCAATCGGCCAGTCCTTTAATCAATGAATCTCTTAATACGCGATCATTCTTCCCATGATGTTCCCACATTGCGATGCCACGTTTTCGTGTTAAATTTTTAGGTATGGCTGATTTGAGTATAAATATACTGGCTGATATAATAAGATAAAAATTTAATTATGGAATATAAAATGTAACAGACGTGTATATCGTAGTAGAAATGTTACTTAATCTGATTAACACATTTCGATATACCTGAGTAAATTCCGTGTCCAACAACTCGTGATTCTGGCGACTAATTAGTAAAAAATTCACCTCTCAAGATGTGCGCAATTAGTATCTCACCGGAAGCGGGCGATGCGACCGCGATTATGTCGACGGAGAGAAAATATTCAGCGACTTCCGGTACCGAGGATTTTAAGAATGTTTATCTCTCGGAAAAGGATAAAAATGCAGATGTTCGACGCGTCTCGACGATATCATCGAATTCAATTAATAACCTGAAAAGTAACATTTACGAGGGATATGCGTCAAGTCAAAATGACTCCTGTCGAAGAACGAGCGGTATCGAGCACGATGTCATACACTACGGATTTCCTTATTACAGGTGTCATTTAGCTTTTCGTTCGAACGCGAATATAAAAATTCGATTTAACATGTGGAAAATGAATGATATGTTCATATATATTTCCTACACAAGGACAAGTGACAGCAAATCTTATGCTGCTATTGCAAATAGATCAGTATATAGGATGTGTCTTAAGTATACTTTATACTGATCTATTTGCTACGAAAGCATAAAAATTTGTTGTCACTTTTCTCCGTGTAATGCTTAAGCAAAGAAAAGATACAATTAAATTATAAATATCAGTCTTAATTTATATATTAGTCTATTTCTGACATTTTTTATTTCTTTCCTTAAAAATATTTTATTTCTCTAAATTTACTAAATATTCATAAATTATTATTCTCTCGTCCGATAATTCTCTAATTACAATGTAATGTAGAGAAAATTAAACGGTCACAGGAGTAACAGAATCAACAGTTCGCAAGACGCCGTCCTGGTGAAGGACGTAGGAATATCCTGCAGACTATTAAACGATAACACGGATGATCCTGACATGCCGATTTCAGGATTTGAGAGTTACCTCGTCAGACAGCTCAAGCTCGAGTACAACGAATTGTCGAGCATTACGAAGAAGATAAACGCGTATACCAAGGATATTTTGAGTAACTTGTCGTCGAGATGCAGGAGGAAGGATCGCGTTCTTCAGACTTTAGTACGAAAAAAAATGTTTAAAACTTGTAGAATCAATAATTACAATTTAAACTCGTAATCGTTCACTAAAGAACTCTTTGCAGCATGTCGTTTCGAAACATGTGATGGCCTCTCAATATATCGATGAGGTGGGAATTCCTTGCTTGAAATTAAAATTTTGCGATAATACGGAGAAGAAATGTCGATCGTCAAATAATGATATAAATAACAGTTCCGAAAAGGGAATTACTGAGGAAACGCATGGTAACGTGGAATATAACGAATACATTTTTGTTTTTTTACACTTTCAGTTTATATTTAACAATAACCCAGTAAACACGAAGCATCAACTACATTATATCTATGCTATAATTTCTCACTCAATCATGCAAATATAATAAAATACATATCCTATATTACATTTACATTGTCGGATGAAAAATTATAACATAGATATAATGTAACTGACGCTCCCACTGTGTTTATCGTGAAGCGAATAAATAAAATAAGGATCTACAGAATCGCAGTTGCATAATGATAAAGAAACCTTCTCCCTCAGGAAAACGTGTGAATACGAAAAGGCGACACGTACAACCTGATAAAGCTTTCCCGAGAAGAATTCTCGAACTCTCGCCGAAATGCAGCGGCCTGTTGCTTCGCAATTATCTGTTAATGAGGAGGGAGAAAGTATCCAACAGCGCCTCGAAGGCGTCCTTATGTAAAGCTGAAGATATCGCATCACCTGATAGATCGTGCAGGAACCGTGGCTCTTATAAATCTCGCAGGTCCTTTTACGTGAGCAAATGCGATCCTCTAGCACTCACTAATTGGAAGGAAGTGTCTAGGCGGAAGGAATACCGATCTAAGAGCACATTCACTGCCAGCAGTTCCGGCGAGTCGCATTGCACAGTCAGTTGCATTTAATTCGCGAAGCCAAAGAAAGTCAGATTCTCAAAGATAAGGCCGGTTAATTATTAAAAATGTATTTTTTAATACTTCCTTAAAACTGTTTTATATCATTTTCATCGTTTTGTAGTACCTCTTTACACTTAATCGTTTTTCCGCATTTTTGCAAATGTATTTAGGTATCTTATTTTAATTAAAATGCACAAATGTTGTATAAAAAAATATTTGAATACAAACAAATGATGTCAAATGATGACAAATATCAACGACGAACCAGACCGACGAGAAATATGTTATTATATATAATGAAATTATATTATATTCAAATTTTATATAATTTCATATGTTATTAACACTTTTTAGTATATTATATGTAATAAAAAATTATATATATATATATATATATATATATATATATTATATATATTTGGTTATATTACATATTATATACAATGGTAAGGAAAATGACAATGATAATGGTGATGACGGCGATAGATAATGAAGAAGAGAGCAATAGAGATAAAATTAATAATAATTCAATTCTTGGAATTCTTACAAAGTCGAAGTTCGAGCTATCGTTCGAGTGTCGATTCGTCAAATCGATGTATCGTAACGAGAGAAGCAGGGAAAACGATGGCCTGTTTTCTTCATCTACACTCTCTATGCTGAAAACGAGATGGATACGTATCTGAAACTTGAGATATACGTTGAGAGAGTGCAGAAGGCGCAGCTAAAAAAGCTATACCTCTAGTTGGTTCCTAGTCAGGGAACATAATATCGATCATGTAGACAGAGACGCTTCCGAATTTTTACGTGTTTATTAAATAATATATTCAACAGTTTATACATACATATGTTATAATGAAATGTACTATATAATATACGTCGAAGATAATTTATTGTAACGGTGCTATGAAGTTATAACGGATTTAATAAAAGATATTCTGGACAGGTTGCGGGATAACCTGTAATACATGATACACAATCTATCTATATATCTTGTTTTATCTGATAAATAAAAATTTTTTACAATACCTACGGTTCGTCGTTTTGTCGCTTCACTAGCGGAAATATGGTTTCGAGTTCGTGCGAACAAAGAGTTTGGAGAAATCTTGAAATAGACAACAAGGCGCATGTGATCTGCTTCATAAGAAATAATGAATCGTGGAAGGTGATCTTGACAGATCTGATAGAGATTTGGATAGAATACCTAACACACGAAACTATGTTTCGCAAATGTCAGGTACATGAATGAATGAGCTATCTCGATTGTGTGCAATGTCTTGCGTTAATATTGCTCACGTCGATTAAGATCAATTATTTTTAAATAATACAAAACACGCGCGAAGTAAAGAGATGGAGATCAGATTTTATTTTGATAAATCATCTTGCGAGTCTTTCGACGAATAAATATTCCACATTATACGCTTAAGCATTATGAAATGTATTATTTTGTAGGCTTTGAATCCTCTGTTGAGACCTCTCGAAGCTATCGACTGGAAGCAACTGGTAATGGATATGTTGAACGATATCCCTAAGCACGTTGTAGAGGCTTCCGTGTTTCAAATAAAACTGCGAAAAGACCAGGGCTTCATAAAGTTGAAATTCTGGATAGATCTCGTCAAAGGTACACCACGACAGTTTTGGGAGAATGTGACAATGCCGTTCTGCTTGTCATCGATGGAGATAGTTCGCCAACATGAGATCTTGTTGGACCTGGTGAGGAAGAAGGACGAGGAAATCGCGGAGTACAAAGCAGGGGGAGCGGAGCTGATTAGGAGTACGCATTTCTGCAACGTTTGACGGAAGATTACTCAAGTTAGTTATTGATGTATGTGTGATAGCCTCTAAAAGATCGTTACTTATGCCTCATAGAGTATATCGCTACGAAACCGTTCAACGAAGAGTTGTTTCAAACTGACACTGCTGTGTCAGTTGCAACTGACTTTGCAAAAGCATTCCAGTCGGTACTCAATTGTTGCAATACTATAACCTTACCAAGAACGCACGTGAAGATAGAGCCTGCTGAGGCATCTACGAATGGTGCAAGGTATAAATAAATGTATACTATGATGGATGATACATGTGTTACATTAAAAAGAACCACGCAAAAAAATCTTATAGAATTTGTAATAAATAAATTATTTGCCTGATTGTCTGTTTTAGCGACGATGTTTCTGGGATTGAGGAAAACAGGCTTGTCAACTTGTCCAAGGATGAACCTGTGGAGGAAACAAGGCAAAATGAAAGTTACAAAGACGAGGAAAGCGAGGAAAATAAATGTCAAGTAAACCCATCCGCCTGTGGGTCTTCAATTTGGAAGTTGAGCAACACATCTCACAGCATACAAAAGTCCTTGAAAAAGAAGAAGAAGACGTTGAGCGATCTTATATTATAGTGCAATTTTATTCAGCTGTGCAATATCGCTTTAATATTGGTTTCATCGTAAATTCGAATTTTACTTAATGAGACTAGCTTGAAAGCAAAGTAATTTATTCTTGAGAGATGCTATGATTGATTGTTAGTTATTTATTGAAAGGCAGGAAAAGAAATACTATATTTATCTATATCATATATATTTACATATGCATTACATTGGGCTAAATGTAAAAAATAATCTAAGTAGTCTAGATAATATTATCTAATATATATTTTTTGATCATTGAAAACTGTACCGTAAAACTGTAAAGTAAAACTGTACTGTTAAATTGTAAAGTTTAGAACAATAAATCATCAAGAAAAAGTAGAAAAAAAATTGGGCTCGTCCGGGATTTGAACCCGGGACCTCTCGCACCCTAAGCGAGAATCATACCCCTAGACCAACGAGCCACGTTGTATGTAAGGCTGTTTTTACAGACTGATCAGGTGTAATAACACTGATGACATGCACGCATTTCCGCACCAGATGTTATCTATGCCATTAATTGCGCGATAACACAGTCGGTGCGTGGTGTGTGCAACATGGCGGGCGACGGGCAACAAGACTTCAACCGGAGTGCGTTGACGCTCGATCGGGGACGGGTAATCATCGCTCCTGTGATTTTGATTGTTGAAACTAATGCGCGTCATGACGCACGTAGATCGGTATCGTCGAGTTCATTCCCTCCGGCTGCGCTTTATCGCACCTTATCTCCGGCGAAGTAGAGCAAGCGCGTGTTCTATCTTTGAGGAAGGAAGAAGAGCGTAAGAGAATATATAGAGTGTGCAGCTAAAAAGAATAAAGCTTACGTTTATTTGATGCAAAAATTAGGTAGTAAATTATTTTGTTCTTATTTAATTTAATTGGTATGCATGAAGTATTTTTTTTCACGTATATTTGATATACTTGAAGTTTCGCCAATTGTCTCTATATAAGTTCCTAATTAATATTCTGTTTAAGTCGGGATTTAAATTTAAAATTAAAATCGGGAATAAGCTCTTGTCATTCTTTTATTAATTAATATTCTGTTAAATTGAGATCTATGTTTTAAATTAAAGTCATAAACAAGCCCTTGTCATATTTCCACAATAATATCTCTGGCGAAACTTTTAGAATAATTTTACAAATACATGAATCAAATTACACGAGAGGCAGGGATTCATCTTGTGAAATTCTCAATTGCCAATTTCCGAAATTATCGCGTTTTAAAAGCACACATTTATCCCCCCCCCATTCGTTTCCCATCTTCTTCGTAAACTTTTACTCATTAGTTGTCGACAATTTAGGCCTGGTACACCGGTCAAAGAGCGGAGAAGATCCCAAACGGGCTGGTCGGAGTAGTGGGCAGCAATTGCCTTGGCCTGGATCTTTCCTATAACGAACTGACTACCGTTTCGGCGGCGAAGGATTTCGAGAGGCTTCAGGAACTGATTCTGGACAACAACCAACTCGGCGATCTCAAAACGCTGCCGTTCATGCCGACTTTGACCACTCTGAGCTTGAACAACAACAAGGTTCGAGAAATACTTTGTACTTTGTCCCACGTTTCCTCGAGGTAAAACCGAACACGCTTAAGAGACGTCACGAAATGGCAGATCTGTGAGAGACTCTCGCGTAGCATTTGCCAGCCGAATGATAAGATTCTTCCTCCTTCTTGGAGATATCCAACATCGACGGAGCCCTCGACAAGATACGAGACTGCTGTCCCAACGTGGAATACGTGAGTCTTCTGGGTAATCCAGGCTATCCCGATCAGTTGACCAATCCGGCGTCCACCGACGAGGACGATTACGAGCGTTACAGGCTCTATGCGATCCATGTCTTACCTTCGAGCCTGCGCTTCCTAGACTCCCGGCGAGTCACTCAGCAGGAGAGATTGAACGCCGAGATTCGCGGCAAGTACTCTAGGACGGTGAAGCTGGTGCCGGAGTTGATTCACAAGCCGCCCAGCTCGACGACCACTAACGAGTTCGACGATCTGTTCTTCAACATCCATTACACACCCTTACCGAATGCAGTACGCAAGCCGCAGGATCACAAAGGTACACGAGTAGCGCAAATCAGGTGAAATCGCGAAAAATTGCATGACGATAGAATCGATCAGTTAAATTAGCTGGAACATTCGGTTATAGTTTAAAGAATACCTCGACGCTTTGAGGAAATTAAATTTTCAGGACAAATTAATGGAATATTTAAATTGATATTAAAATTAAATTACTAGTACTTAAAAGTTCTAATTGAATTAAATTAAAATATTCAAATTTAAATTGAATTTAAACTATATTTATAATTTAAATATTCTGTTAAATATATTTAATGCGTGAATTATATTTACGTTGAATAATTCCTTCTTCTGAGATAGAACGATCGATACTAACGATGAATCCTTGTCAGGTGCGTACGGCAAGTGCAAGTATCGGTATTCCGGCAAGAATTCCGAAGGCAACCGATTCATCTCGAACAACGATCTTTAAACGAGATTCATTGAAATACTTTTCAACGTGGCCTTAAATACCAAAATATATGCAAAATGTTTGTCTAGTCAGGTATAATTGATGATCATCAATTAAGCACAAAGCGCGAGATATCCCTTTCTCAAATATTATCAAGAGTTGTTCAAACCTGTCCCAAATGATTCGCAAATAGTATTATCAATGTGAAAACGTCTCTAAGAATCATACCATGATAATTATTATATTACCACTGAACTTTCCAATAATTTGTTCGAGAAACAAATTATTACAGCCCCAAATATCGCACTGTTTGTGATAATTTTATATGTCAAATGTAAAATATCTATAGAGTTTATAATAATATTTTGTATAATTGACATTGATGTGTGATTGATATTCAGCTATTTTTCAAACTAGCTCCTCGATTAGATTTACGTTGCGACAGTTCGTACTTCATCCCTCGAAGAAGCGTGTCCGACTGATCTTTGTATCTCTTTAGCAGTGCGTTTTTTTCAACGGTGATCGAGAGAAATGCGAAGCTACGAGTAAACGTATAAAACTTTTATTATCATGTACACCGACGAGCGACATATAAATAAATGTCTGATTCTATTCATTCAGTAACATTAAACGCTATGCACTAACATACGGTAGAGTAACTTGGAGACTTCATCGGACATAGAAAAACGTAACGGGTTATCGTAACAGAATCTTCGACCTTTCTATACCGCTATTGGTCCGTAATGCGTACGACATTAATTATCGCAACGACGCTAAATTCAGTATTTCGAGAATGTCGAAGTCATATATATATATATGTATGTCTATGTATACTTCAGAATTTGTTAGTTAATTTAACACGCACGCTATATATAGCCCCGCGAGAAAGAGAGGAATTAAAAGAATTCGTAGGGATTCGCTTTGCGAATTTACAAATTCCCTCGAAGCTCGAGTTTCACTTCGTAATTTTGAAATTCCCCTATGTCTGTTTTATGATTGTCTGTCTCCTCTTCAAATGCATCCTTAGCGAGAAATCATGAATAAAAAAGAAATCATTTCGGGAAGGTAAGTAGAAATACATTTCCTTTTCATGATATTTCGCCTGTTTCAACAAACGCTTAGTTGGTAAGATAACAGGAAATAGAAAGAAATTCAGACATTTTCCGAAGCAAACTCTCCCGGTCTCAGAAATTGATATAATTCCGCAATTCACGAATTCCATCCGCGATCGTCACCCAAATTGTCAATTAACGATAGATTAAACTCGTCCATTTCCTCGCTGGGAACTTTATATGCTATCGCGCACCGCTCGAATCTCTACAAAACATACGTTAAAGGCAGTTTACAGTTTCCATCGTTAACCCTGTTTGTAGGAAGAGTCTTACATCTAAGTATACGCGACTTACGCGACGTTACACAATCGTATGCTAACAATCGAAGGCTGTATAATTAAGTCGGTTAAGTACGAAGTACGTCAGTTCGGCCCTTCGATTCATTCGGGAACATTCGTGTCGTCGATTCATGCTTGCGCCGCGATTCAGCGATTCAGCGTTTAGCGCCAGACGTGAATGCTCAAGCATTAAACATAAATATCGTAACAGAGATAGTCCAGATTTAACGCTGAACGATAAGTGAGACAGACCAGCGCGCCTTTAGCGCTAAACGCGAGCCGCAGATGTGGGCCTTCCTCTACGATCGTCCTGAAATCGCCGAAAGAAAGCCTCCGTGTCCTTAGAATGGATCCGTGAATGACGAGTTTCTTTCGAGAATTTCAGAGCAGCGATGGTAGTTACTCGCATAAGTATACATGTATAAATATAACATCTATACGAGAAAAAGAGAGAGGGAGAGAGAGGGAGAATATGTGTGTATGTGTGTGTATGTGTGCGTTGTACATGGATGTGTGTGTATGTGTGTGTGTGTGTGTGTGTATATGTGTATAAATCGATGGGAGGAAGCGGTCATATTTAAATCCCTTAAATACACCGTTCCATCGCTTCGTTCGCTCGTCATCGTTCGTTCTCTATTGTACACACTGGAAGCATCTTTCTCTCCAAGAAAGGAAAGTGTCCACAACGTTGTCGTTTCGCGTACCAAACGCCGACGTTTCTCGTCTTGTCCGATTTGTTCGTTGGCGAACGACGGAGGGAAAGCGAGCGGCTGAACAGGAGATCCGTTCTATTTTCTTGAATTCGAGTCGAGTTCATCGTTTTTCCGACACGCAATTGAACGCTCAATGATATCGAAGGCTCTCAAACGTTCGATCAAATGATAAAAAATTTATCGTTGGTCGATTTCTTCAAAAATGAAACATTGTTCGAAAATCGTGAATCGTAAAGTAAGAGAAGAGAAAATATAACGAGACTCCTCGTCCGCTCGCTACCTCCGCTTTCTCACGAACTTTGCACGTATCCGCAATGTAAATTGATATCACATAACATTTTACTACAATTTTACTAATTTTTGGACGCGCTGTTTACCGCAACGCCGAATTGATTTATATTGCACTTGTTCTTCCTTCGCGAGGATTTTTTTTTTCTTTTTTACTAAAGATCATTTCGTCATCCTTCCGCCGTTTTCGCGAATTGATTTTCGGGGACAATCTTCTTTTCTCTGAGGTAGAATTTCACGCGCGAACTCTCCAAGCACACGCGTACAGTTTCGCGACTCAACGTTCGGAACTCGGCGAGAGTCACGTTACGAGAATTCATCGTTTTTCGTTCGTTCCAATACGATGCCGATAATCGTCTCGCCGACTGCTTGGACGGACGCACTTCTGCTTTTACTCGTTATCTCGTTTCGGGCTTTGTAGTGAGGACCTAAGAGTATCTCCTCGAGAATATCGACGATACTTCACGATATTGCATGTGTTTTCATCGCCTGTTCAGCTCGCGTAGTTCTACATGGAACTTCTCGCGCCACAGCGATAAGGAGAAATAACAGGCATAAAAATGTGCGACAAGAGAACGAGAAGTAGCTTGGAAAGAAGGAAAAATACGCTTCGCAAACAATACGTGGAAATGACGCTGTGATGAAAGTTAACCCGTTAGTTACGAGGATAAAAAATTGATGGTCATTCCCGAATGAAACAGCATCGAAGGTAAGCGTGGACTCTACTTAATGATGTAACTTTATCTCGAAAAATATCAAAAGATAACGTGTCAATTGCGCTACAACTCTATCCTCTCAACGTTTGGCACGTTCATTATGTTAATATGTCGTTGTTACGAATCCCGGCTTTGTGCGAAAGAAGCTACGAGTGCAAGGAACCAGGCAAGCGGAAAATAAGATCTCAGCCGCGTTCCACGGGAAAAATAATTAAACAGAAAATATAATTTTGCATAGTCTGTCTCCAAGTCGATCTTCTAAAATGATAATTCTCGTATAAATTCACGTGTAAACGTAAATTTAGATTTATTCATTTTCGCGTGTATATCACGACGTTCTCTATCTACGAAATTATAAATTTCTATTTCTATTATAAATTTCTATCTCATTGCTAAGCGAAGGAAGAAAAATCGCGCGTAGAGAAAACAAACTACCGCCTAACTTTCACTCAAAAATCAGCTAACGCGCCTTTTATATTATTATTGATACGTTTTATATTATCTTTCGAAATAATAACGCGAAGTAACAATAAAGCAAGAAGAGAAATCAAAGAAACAAGAGTGTCGTGCATCACGTACTGGTTGGGTAAAGTTTCACGTGGAAATTAAAAAGTACGATTTACACGATATAGATAAATTTATATAGGACGCAACGTAAGAGTAAGAATAGACAGAGGAGAATCGTTAGTGCGTACGTTATGCAGAGTGCAAAAGCACCGAAGAAACAACGAAATGACGTATATCCCTTCGATCCACCGGGCTGAGGGCCATCCACTTTCCATGGAAGTTTCCGTCGGCGGACCGGAATTCTTGGTCGTGCCAGTTTAGGAGGACCGAAGGACACCGAAAGACGCGAGTCCACGTCGCTCCCGAAGGCACTGATTTTCGTTTCGCGAGTCTGTCGCTTCTCGGGGACTTACGCGACGCTTCTGGAACTATGTACACATATAACGATACTTGGACTAAATCGCCATCTCTGAAAAGCCGAGAGTCTCCTGCGAGTCTCCGAAAAAAGGAAACGAGAGGACTGAGAAGCGCGCCGTTATCCCGATAGTCGTCGAACGGCGCCGTGCTCGTCGCTCGTCGTTCTTAAGAGCCGTTGTTCTTGCCGTGATTGTGCAGGTTCGGCCTCAACGTCACCGCGCCTTCCACCCAGAAGTTCGGCCTCTCGAGCATGTTCTGCCACAGAGACAGTTCACGGCCGGTCGCGTCCATCCAGTCCACAGGTTTCCCGTAGTGCTTCCCTGGAGCGCAGAGTACGAAGATTTATGTTATTTTCCGCGAGAGATGATCAATATTTTAATACTTAGGTTGCCACGTTTCATCCACACGGTGAAAAATGTTGTGTTGAAAACGATCCACTGAAATTTCGGTGTTATTTTAACACGGGGAATATGTTAAAAATATACAAATCAATGTTAACAAATGTTGACATATTCATCTTGTCAGTATATTACTTTTTAACATAATCACCTAGTTAAAGTAAGACAACAATTTCAGCGGATCATTTTCAACATAAAAGTTTTGATTGTGCATATATGGGTGACACGTGAGTTTTCGCAGGTAGCTCCGTCAACCATATGTGTGTAAGTGATAGTTTTAATCATTTTAAATGGGAATAATGTTAAATGGGAATTATGAATTTTTTATGGAGATATTGAATGAAAACAATACCACTTATACAATGTACATATACAAATATTAAAAAACAAAATTTAACATTACATTACATATTTATTATAAAATGACCAAACTTATATGTAATTTTCATGATATTTTAGAAAACAATCCATGCATATAATAGTAGTTGTTATTATATAAGTATATTTTTAAGAATATTTATATATTAGACAAATATGTGAGATGTAGAATATGCATGGAAAGGAAATCATCATACTTTCATTGGACATGGTTCGTTTTTTGTATGTACAATATATATTTGATTCTGTGTACACACTTGTACTGTACGCGTTATGACTTTGGGGACTCTTGGACTTTACACTCGAAATTGGATAATCTAAATGTTAAATATTAGAATAAATATGATATTATATCTTGCAATAATATACGATGCAAGCCTTTCGGGCCACGAAAATTGATTTTTGAAGATGTTCTGCAAGAAATTTTGAAGATAAAATTATCAGGAAATTTTGGGACACAAATTTCTAAGATAAATAAAGCGAACTTTTGGAATACAGAATGTAGAAAACCGATCAAGTTTTGAATAACTGAAAGATGTATGATTTTTAGACATAGACTGATTTTTTTGTACATACCGGTGCCGAGATTAAACCGCACGCCGCCCAAGAATTCGTTGCTGGCAATCCTATCGTGATCCCAGACCGTCAGTTCCAATCCACGTTCTGCTAACTCCTGCAGACTAACGTCTTTGTATATGAACGTATGTCCCCAAACCGGGGAGCCGCCCGATCTGCGCACCACTCCAGTCTTTTGCTTACCGGATCGGCCTTTGTCAGGCAGCAAATAGCTGAAAGATTTTACGAAATGTTGTTTCGGAATTTTTCGAACATCAAACAAGAATAATTAAAACTATACGGAGAAAAATAATTCTAGTATTGTAACGAAATCATCGTTGCTACTGCATATTCGTCGCAAACAGCAATCAAATTTAATCGGCAAATTTAGTTGGCAATTAACGAATTAGGGCAAAAACAGTTTCGTTGCTGGAATCGAAAGTATTCTGCTGAGTGAATTTGTCCTTAAGACACTTTAATTAATTTGTTGTTAGGACAAAATAGTATTTTCCTGCATTCACTAATTTGTCCTTACAATAAAACAATTAACAGATTCAGCAAAATAACCCAGCAAGAATGATAATCAGTATTCTTAACAATTCGTTTTGCTGCCCACATGGTGACTGACAGATTTTGTTGCCACAGCATAAAATTTGCTGTGTCATCAAATTATTTTTTTCCTTGTACTCATTTCGTCGCAACAAAGTTGTCAATTGTAGAAATTGTATTGATTAATGAAAAATCTACTACTCGTCGCATATGAATCATATATTACTAATTATATAAATTATATTTCTCAGTCACGCCTCTCTCAATAGAAACATATGTGTTGATCCGTACGAATTTTACAGGCAATACCTTTTACAGAAAGGATCACAGGTGCCCGAGTTCTTGGCCCGAGTTTGCAGGTTCCTAGCCTCCTTAACGAGAACGTGGAGAGCACCACGACTCCAGTTTTTCTTTGCTTTGGAACTGCGGTGATCGGTGCCGTTTTCCCGATCGCGATCTTGCTGCGTCGGATCCGGCGGCACGAATTTCAGACCGACTATCACCTCTCCCTTGTATGCGACTGGATCGTCGAACGGCTCCGTCTAAGAGCAATTATTACGTATGAATGATTCACGTATAAGTAATTTTTCCTTTCTTCTTCTTTAAAACGACGTATATAGAATTTCGAAGAACTTACGATAGGAGGAGATTGCGGGTTAGATTTTATAAGATTTTAGCATCTCTCTTGAAAACGTAACTTATGACGTTTGTTGTAAAATTTAGTTGTAATCGTACCGATAAAAACATTTTTAAACAAAATACGCGCGATTATATGTTTATATATTCATATATTTTCATGGGAGAAACTTTGGAAAACTTTCTATTCCTGTAGTTATGTTTTAACATTTCTATATTGCGTAATCCACGTAATCATAAACGTACACACGAATGTGTGCCATGACAAGAGCTTATGCAAGCAACATGAGCGCGTGGCACGCGGTAAACCAAGAAGAATGACGTTTGTTTCGTTCCTACGTCAATTTTTCGCTGAGATATGGGAGTCGAAAAAAATCGGAATGTTAACAACGGGCCTTTGCCGCAGAAGAACGCCTAGTAGTGCGTATATTGTAGTGCCTTCATGCCTCGGATTTCACACTTCTCAGCGACGCGCTGCGCTCAGAGCAGCTGCGCGCAACTTTGTCAGCGGTCTCAATCCGTCGTCAAAGGATTAGCCGCTTATCGATATTTCCACGTAGAAAACACGCAGCGACATAGAATAAATCACATTCGAAAGCTAAAATTATGCCGCTTCTGATGAAAGGATGATCGTTTTTCTGTGTTATCAACTAATGTCTGTGATATCAACGATATCAATGCAACGCTAAATCTAATTTTTTCCAAATTCTAAAGTTTTCCTGTGGGCTTAAATTTACAATTTTGAATCTAAAAATTTAATTTTTCGATAAAGGTCCATCAATTTCTTTTTGAGCTGAGGATAAATGTACGATGGCCCACATCTGGTGGGCAGGTCCCTGACTAAAAAATAAAATATTTGCTTCAAATATCTCTTCGATGCTCCATCTATCTAAGATACATGTCATATTTACTCAGAAATACACCGAATAAATTTTGCATTCACATGCGCTCTCATCGAAACACATTGAAAGCATAGAATTAGAAGCTCTAAAATCGCAGCCTGCGTCTTGAGCAACAAAGAAACGAAAAGAAAAATTTGCTAAATGCGTAACAATGTGTACGTCCACTCGACTTACTTCACTTCGCCGACGATACTACGACCCGAACATTTCGGAGCAACGTTCCCCGTTGTTTCCACCGAAATTTTCACCGAGAGAAAAAATTCAATTCCGTGCTCTTGCTACCATTTATCGTTTGATATTGTCCGAATTACAACCGGCGGAGAACTTACTCTTTCCTGAAGGGGATACCAATGGGGCGTCGGATCGTCGAATATCTTGTTCTCCAGCGGCATCCGCACCTCGCCGAGGAAGTCGTTGCGACCGAACATGTCCGAATGCCAGACAGTCAGCCACAGTGTCCTGGTCTCCAGGCCGCTCAGGCTCATATGGAACTAAAAGCGCGCGTTGACGTGCTACCATCACTGATCGTCATGCAAACGAGCAGCGAAACATTCAGGCCGACGGACTTACCTTCAGGGTCTCGTTGAACTCCGGGTTTAACGTGTGCTTCTTCACCTTCGTCTTCCTCTTGCCACTCTTTGACTTATCCGGCAACAGGTATACCTTGACGTATCTGGAAGGAGAACATGAAAGATTACCAAAATTCAGTCGGGTTTGTAAATTAACTGAATTCGAATACGACTTTGTTTGAGCGATTTCTTTTCCGATACTTCTTTTGTCATTCAGGAAAAATAAAGTTAAGGTGATAATGTATAAAGTTATTTATCGTTTAGTTAGCCTTAATATTTATTTTATTAATTATTTTAAGTCCTGAGATGTTATCTAAGTTCTTCGTTTTAAATGTCAAAATGTCGAAACGTGGGGAAAGTTCGCGATGAAATTTATCGATTAAAGACAAATTATTTACGTTTAATCGTCAATCGTATCGACGTTGAAGCAAAATTGCTTATCGCTGTTATCAGTATTGACGTCGACTTGCATTATCGAAGATACATCCACAAATTGCACGTTATCTCTCTCCGTGTTTAATACACGGCTACAAAGTCTCTACGAGTCTCGCGCAAAATTGAAAGTCTCGCTCAAAATTACCGATCGCTGTGTCTTGATTATAGCCTCGCGAATAGTGATTACCGTCATTCATGAGAAGATCTTATCAAAATACAAATTAACACTTGAACTTTTCCTACTACGAATATTAATAATTAAATAGTGATGTAACATGTGCGCACACAGATGTCGTTAGGAATATTCATTAAAACGATGCGATATCAAGAATTAATAATATAATATCATTAATATTAATATTATAAATTGTATGGTAATAATGATGGAAAGAAATATCAAGTTTCAAATAACATAATATAATTAAAATAATACGTTGAAGACGTCAGCGAGAAGAGACGTGAAGAACACTTACGGATCCGATCGTTTGCGCTTAACATCCACTGGCGCGAGGTTCTTGCACTTCGTCACGTGCACCTCGAAGGTCAGGTGCTTATAGTCGTACTGCAGAGCGAACTCCACTTCGCCGGTGACGACCACGGATCGGCAACAACGTCCCTCACCCGCGCCGCTGTATACCGACGCCATTGAGTCCGAACGTGCCTGGAATCGCAGACGTGAAGATTAGAGTCGTAAAGACGAGAAAACGAAGACGATTTCAGCGTCGTAAATCTGGCATAGCATTCCTACGCGATGTCTGCTTTCCCATTGCGTTACATCCCAGCTAGATGCATGCTCGCCTCCACGTTATACTACATAACAATGGATGGAATTTTCTCCCGGAAACAGAAATCCCGGAAATCAAAGATACGGCGCATTTAGGCGAAGTGCAAAGATTTATTGTCGAAGACTCGTTTCGGCAAAAACAAATTTTAGAAATTTTCACTCATAGAACTGTCCCGAGTCTTAATAATATATCGATTTCTATCAATTTCGATAAAATTTTCGAATTTCACTTGTGTTACTTTGAAGGTAAAAAAACTAATTATTATTTGGACCGCTTAGTAAAATTAACTATTTACTAATTGTTATTTAGAATGTTGTGTGAGTTATCTTGGCGAATTTAAGAGAAACAAATTTTAGTGGATCGCATTTACCCCGAGGCTCGACAAGGAGGCACGAGTAGCGAGATGACCGGAATGCAATCCTGGATCCATATCATCCATGTCCATGACTGTGTGACTAGATCCTGCTCGTGATCCTGCTCCGATAATTGGAGTGCTGCATGCTTCCGATAAACTACCTCCATCGTCTATGACATCATGAGGAAGCTTAAGTTATTCAAACTGACTCAAATCATCATATATTGGCAGAGAACGAAGATGAATGAACGAAAGTATGAATAAACAATTTCAAGAATCAGTGTTTTTAGAACTGCAGTGTAAAATCCTGTCATTTACAGTTATTATAAGTAATTATTAATTATTATTTCATCAATCTCTTTTTGTAAACCGTTAAAAGTTTCAGCTTATCGTTTCGACTATATTTATCCGTCAATTCCTTGACCCTTGACTTTTAAAATTATCTCAAAATAACCACTTCGTCAGTGACGAGTTTTTATGATTATTCACACGAAGGTGATGATTCACACGAAGAAAAATAATTATGCTGTCGTAACGGAACCATCGTTGCTATTGCATACTCGTCGCACGTAGCGATAAAATTTAGTTGATATAACCAAATTTGCAAATTATTCGTAATCAGAGCAGAAACAATTTTATTGCCAGGATAGAGAAAAATTTGGCCGTATGAACCTGTTCTTAGGACACGTTAATTTGCTGTTAGAAGAAAATAAAGTTTTCTTACATTTACTGATGTGTTCTCAAACGAAACAGAAAGATTAGCTACAGCAGCTAGATTGGCAGCAAACACTTTTACTGCAGCAGCAAGCGTACTATTGTAAATGTCATTACAATAATATGTTTGCCGCAGCGGCAGAGTTTGCTACTGCAACAATTAAAATTGCTTACGCTGCTAAAGTTTCAGGTGTCTTTATGTTACAGCTAATTTAGCTATTGCAGCTAGTGTTTTTTTCCGTGCACAGCAAAATAATTAGATTCATCAAAATATATTTAGAACGAACAGCAATTAATTATTCTTAACAAATCATCTTGCTGTCTACATAGTAAACTTAGACGATTTTGCCGCGACGGCATGAAATTTGCTCCGCCAGCAAATTATTTTTCTCCGTATATATTTATATTTGTGTATTTATATTTATGTATTTTCCACGTTGAAGATACGCGTGAATCATGCCAGAATAATAGAATCTAAGTTTCTTCCCCCCCGCATAGCCTTTTCGACTTGGATCGTTCGTAATCACTTTCCGACTAACTTATCATCAGCTTGGGAATATCCAACGGCAGCTTGAGCGTTTCTTGCTGGCCGTGTCGCTTCGAGTACTTCGCCAAGACGCTCGATCTATACTCTAACTTGGAGTCGCTCTGCGACGCTTTCTTTTCCTCGCTCGTCAACGGCTGGTTCTTTTTCTTCAGGAGAGCCGGCAAACCGCCGATCGCGCGCCTCATCTCGTTCACACTGCCGTAGGACGAAGACTTATTCCGGAAATTCGTATCGATCGCGTTGTCCTTGCGTATTAACAAGGTCTCCTCGCTGTTGGCGACGTTCTGCGCAGATACATCCTTCGGATAGTAATTGTTTCTCATCAAAAAAAATCTCTCTTCCAGTGTGAGTTTCTTCGGCGGAACGATCGACTGCTTCAACTTGTTCAATTCAACGATGGGCTCCAGAACATTCGTCCTGCTCGTCCCGTTCGCGCTGCTCGATCCCGGCGAAACGCGAGCTAGTTCCCGTCGTCGTTTATAACAAGAACCGCAGCAGCATCCCAGCCAGCTCGAAGCGAGGGGTCGCATCATTTTTCCAGCCGTCCAGGAGTCGCCGGTGGCAGAATCGAAAGTCGAGTAACGCGCGCTTTTAGGCATCGCACCCAGCGATCTTTAATTTCGAACTTCCGATGATTTAGCGAAGAGTAACTTATGACTAGCCCGTTCCACGTCGCCGATACTTCTCGTCGAATTTTTGTATCTCCGAGTGAGCTAAAGAGCGATAATGTTTCTTCGTTCAGTCAAGCGCAGAACGCGTTTCCCCAACCGTTTCATTTTAATGGAAATTCCATTTCACCGATTTTGTTTCCTATTCCAAATTGATAAGAGCACAGCGTGCCATCTTCGCGATGTCAAGTGAAAATAGTAACTACACTCTTGGCGACTTCCGCTTGACGTGTTTGCCAATATTTCGTAACAGGCTGTAAGGAAGGAACTACGATCGGGAGGCGCGACGCGAAACGAAACGCTCGTTGCACTGACAAACTCGGTCGTCGCCCGACTGTTCTTTCTTCTTGGCGGACGGAACAAAGGGAGGCGATAATTCTGATTTTTACTTCCTGCCTTTCAGGTCGAATAGCGCGTCAGCATCCATGTTCAAGGTCCGGTATCTGGTAAGGTTTGATAACGCGCGATACGATGTAATTATATGCGAGCGAGTCTCTAGAAAGGCGTCATTTCAACTGCGCGATATAACTCTCCGATTTTTCCCTTTTTCCAGGTGCGTGAATATTTAACGCGAGAGAAAAGCGAAGAATTACAGAAAGAACTTGGATTCTTCGAGCCGAAGAGGAATTTTCGGAAATTTTCAAGGAGAGATCTTTGAAGAAGAACGCGTGAACGATCAAGACAGACGTCTCTTGGCATTGGAAATATCGAACGGTCGTTTCTGACCGTTTCTATTGTTTGAACTGATACCTGATTTCTTGCGTGAAAGATGGAATTCTGAAATGTTTACTTTTCACCAATCATTCCCTTTATTAAATGATTAATTCATCAATCATTCAATAAATAAGTTATTGATTTAAAATATAAAAACGGTCGCAAATATGAACCGCTCGGTATTTCTAATGTTAAGCAAGTCCGTTGAGCAATTCAACATTTTGGGAATAGTGTGTCCTAATTTTTTAATGTCCCGCGAAAATATGCTTCATATTAAAGGACCTTTACAAATTTCACCACGTATGTCAGCGGGGACTAAGATGAAAGGAGAGGTAAATATGTAAAGAAGCGTACAAGACGACGACACGTTCGTGCGGCTTTCCTCCGGCGTAGTTGTACGTACGCGAAATAATCACATCGCATCGTGCTGAGTAACGCCAAAGTAACGAGCAATTAGATGTTAGATAACGCCGTTCGTCCGATAGCCACCGTCGCCACGATGCATTCTAATCGCGGCCGCGCGGCAAACGCTTCATCGCCGCGGTAACGGATGCGCGGGATCGGTTCGCGACTTTTGCAAACGGGTTTAGGCGAATGTGTGTCAAGGTGAGCGGTATCGAGGTATCTCCGCGCTGAGAAAAATGACTTTCATGCGTCGCGTTACCTACGTTGCGAACGCGCGCACGCTCCATCAGGCCGCTACGTATAAATCGCAAGTCGGAGATTCCATCGAAAGAAATTCCATCGAAGCAAAGCGACGCGGACGTGACCGGAGAAACGTCTCTCTCTCTCTCGCCCTCCCCTCTCTTTCTCTCTCTCTCTCTTCCTCGCGTTTAGCTGCGACATCGATTGCAATGTCGGTCGCTCGAAGGAAAAAAAAGATTATCAGCGAGAATGAATGGACTAATAAGAGCCGTCGCTGGACGTCGTTGGCCGCGAGGATTTAAATCTCAGCGAAAGGATAAAAAGTTGTTCGACAGTGTGTAATATATGTGCCGGAAAATTCAAGAATGTATCGCCCATAACTCGAAATAATGAAAAAATTATGATAACATTGCAAATCGATCTACGTTGCGTTTAAAAGTTATTCCACTTCAAAGCAGATCGTAAAATAAAGTGAATTTGATAAGAATCGGTGAAACTTGCACAGCGTGTGCACGTTAAAATATTATCTCATTGCTTTTGTAATTAGAAAGATTGACTGTTGGAATAAAAATATTTATAACTAAAGTCGATACTTTCTATACGTGTTTCTTGAGATTGGCGTGCTATTTTTAATTTCTATTTTTAACATCTAAACTAAAAGTAAGATTTCAACGATAAATTACTACGATATTAAAAGCTAATATGCAGACATTATACATAAATGTCAAAGTTATTTTATTTTGAAAATATAGCAATGTAAAATTCGTATAACTTAATAATATTCGAAATATGTATACATATGCACATATTTAAACACTTATATATCTCTTTCTATTATCTGTGCATCTCTATTAGATCAACTAATGCATAAATATAGCATTAATAAGAAAAATAAAAAATAATATTTTCGTGTTTGTAATGTTTTCTAATATGTCTGTCTCAATTTGAAGTTAATATTTATTATCTAGATAGTAAAGTAAATATAAATAGGAATCTAATTTTGCCTGATAAATATTAAATTTATAAATAAGCCACCTTGATGAATCACTGAAAATACGGCATTAATGGATAATACATCTTTACAGAGAAAGGGGATAATTAATGTTGAGAGTATTAATTCCGGAATGAAAAGGATCGGTTCTACGTGGAAGCAGGCTATTACACGGCACTTTACGTGCATTGAAAGTCTGAAAAACGAGTCGGACACGTATGTCGGGCACACTGTCCAAGAATTTTAAGCTAAAATTGATTTTATCGCGCTCAACATCCAGCGACGGCTCTTATCTAGTAAATGAATTTTACTATTAACCAACTAACAGTAACTTGACATCAACGTTATAATTTATAATTTCTCATTCAACAATGTAAGTGTAACAATATAAACATACCGACAGTATAACATACGTTGCATGCAACAGTTACATAGTTGAATGGGAAATTATAACATTGTTATAATGTTACTGTTAATCAGTGTTTACTGGTTAATTAGCCTATTCCTTCTGGTTTATATACCTTCGGAGCCTTTCGATATCTCTTTGTCAAGAAGGATTTATCATCATCTAAAATTGTCCATTCGGCTAATTCTTTCTTCCAAGAAGCAATCATTGTTTATCCTCGAATTTATCGTTATCTCATAGAACATGATAGACCAATCTAATCATTTCCCGGCTCATGTCGCACGGTTCATGCCCGGTAATTCGATTCGTCGGAGATTCCCTCGTTGAAATCGGAGTTCCGTAGTTCGCTTTGTACATTCGCGTGTCATCTCTAGAGTTTCGTGACGCGAAACGGGGAGAGTTAATTAGATCACTCGGCCGGCGAGCGTAAGTAGTTGCGCGCCCGCATCTCGTTAAGGAATTTCGCCATTTTTTCGATTGTCTTC